ATATATATATATATATATGGTTACTATGCCTACATATAACAAGAAGAGAAAAAGGAATGGATGCTTCGGGTTCGAGTGGTGATGTTGCTGGGACTCAATGCACAACTAACAAGTTTTTTGGCCCTCTACTAACAGAACCACGCGCCGAATCCTTCCTTCCAAGCCTACACATTCAGACAAGGATTAGAATGAGACGTCCTGAAACCCGCTTGCGCGATTGCACATAACCTACGTGCCACATCGTCACTCCTCTAATTCGACTTGAATACTCCGCGTTAATAATTTAGCCCATTGATAGGACCCCTCGGTTTTGCCAATTCTTGTTGCCAAGCCAACTAAAACACGGGAGGCTGGGGTCGCATCATGAACGCGTTGGCGTCTACGAAGCCTTTAGTAGTCATGACTACACGCCCTCATTTGCTTCACTGTATCCACTACTGACTTCAATGTATCCTCGCAATATGTCTATGCTGGTATTCTTCTGTAGCCCTGACTTGGAAGTAGCCTATACTGGGCAACTTGCTCCATGGTGCATTGTAAATTGCATTTAGACTACGAATTTTTCCCCCTCCGTGTGATGCATACTAATACGGATGATAATTAGTGAGGTAAGTATAGAAATGCTGGTGTTGCAAGTGTAAACTTACCGAAAGATGCCATAACGGTGCGGTTCACATTGGCGGCACCAAAAACTGATTTATATAATGGCTGTACTCACCCTATTTCATTGAATTTCACCACCATGGTATGAGTAAGCATTACGTTTCCATTGAATTTCATATATCTTTGCTTTCAAAAGGTATTCTCATCTAAACTGAACTGGACTGTAACCTTGGCCTCGTCTGAAGTGGTCCCATCCGCACACCAAGCAGGATTCGAACCCAGATTATACTGTGAAATGCATACTCTCGACACATTAAACACTACACTACACTGCCAAGGGCAGATGTGCATTTCGAGAAAAACCAGGCCCTTCCCATTTTTACATTCTATGGCAATTGAACAGCTGACTTATTTTCCGTTTAAATGTAGGTCTTCGAGATTACCAGGGCATTAAATATAAGTGATGTATTAATCGTATTTCGTTAAGGCTATGAAGGACTGGCAATTGAATTAAACGAAATAGGCTGAATACATCTCATATAATTAACTTGCTTCATCAACAATCCCACCACAGGGGACTCGTGGCAGAGTGGCGGAGTGGTTGACGAGTCGGGATAATGCGCTGCGCAATCACAATTCGAGTCCCGTTGGGGTTGCTGATGAAACCTAGGCGAGGCTGGAACTGCATTCAACCCAGGCCTGGTGAGAATACTTTTTGGAACGCAAGGCGTTGTAAAATTCATTGGAACGTAACGCCTACTCTTAGCAATTTTGGCAAAATGCAACTATTCGTCTTGCATCAACTT